CTCTCAATCTTGATACTTGTCAAAGAACTATAACTCTGAAGTAATAAAAGTTACTGATTTTTTTGATATTCTTTGAAGTCATACTTATGATTTGATTCTATTGTGAACCATTAAGGTACAATATTTTCCAAATTCTTTCATTCCTTGATAAGAAAGGAGGAAGAACATTTTTAAACATGATAGTTTCAAATCAGAAAAGATCTTGAAGTAAGTTGATGCCTATTCTACCCCTATTGAGAAGAAGAATAAGCAAGGCCAGAATGATGAAGTTTTGTCATATTCTTGAAAGCAAATGGCTTGAGAAATCAAAAGTTTGAATTAATTGGACTTATATCATTCCCTTTGGAGAAAACAGTCAAGAAGAAGAGGATCACCTTATTTAGAAAAGGCATATATCTCAGATATTTCTTGGTCACTTTTAAGTTGTGACAACATGAAGAGAATTTCTCAAGTTGTTGGAATAAGAGCATTCAATATAAATAAATTGGCACTAAGAGAGCCACATAGGTACCCACGATGAGACAATATCAAAGTTGGATCACAAAGGAATAAAAATATTCAAATTAAATGGACATTAAGAGTAAGCCTTACAACTTACAATGTTGGGACATCTTGAAAGCTCACATTTACATAAAAATGTTGTATGCTAAAGACCCATTCCAGTCAAAAATAATCATGGGTCATCCCGAAAGCCTATTTTAGACAAAAATGATCCAACTGGGTATTCTGAACAATCACATCAATGTTGGAGTATTTTTGAAGGCTCACGCCAATAAGAAACAAATGCTAGGGCATGCTGGACCCTTATCATTATAGAGAAAATATTTCCACTAAAGCATAAAGGTATGAAGAATGAAAATGGTAAAACAATAACAGTTGTGTTGATCATATATCACTGTTCATCCATCATGCGATTACATCATCCCCACAGAAGCCACAGAAAAGGATGAATGTGTTGTAAATATTCCTTGATATGATACTAACAAGTTAAAGAATCCCATTTGTATTCTTACTGAAGTAGACATCATACAAAAAGTTTTGAACATCATACAAAGAATTCCTTGGTGGAGAGATCTAGGCAAAAACCACAGGAAATGATGAATGCGTTGTTAAATGTTTTACTAACCAGTGATTATGGTACTGAACCAATATTGAAATCATGTGGTTGACCTAATGTCCACTCTTTGAGAGTACTAAATGTGGGTGCGGATATGTGTGCAAGTATACATAATCTAACAAGTAATAAATTGATAAGTAGAGTATCATCTCCACAGGGAATTGGGAAATCAAATAGGTTTGTCAAGGAACTTTACTTTGTCACCTAAGTAAACTTAGTGATGGTATGTACAAATGATAATGTTGTGGCAAAATGAAATGATTGATGTGGAAATGGGATAATGGCAGTATGGTAGAAAATGGATATATCGTGGCAAATTGAATTGTGAAACATGCAAGCAGATGAAAATGTCAAGGCAAAATAAAATGTAAATACTGGATTTAATTTATAAGACTTTAGCTTTCTCACACGACAAGCAGCAATGGGAATGAGTGATGGGAGTCACTAGGAAAATCTAAGTTTATTTCTCCAAATGGTATTTTCTCTATGATTAACCTGCCCGACAGAGTCTACTGAAGTGCCTTAAGCTATCTCTAGTAAGGGACTCGACAGATTAAAAATGCCTTGGCAAATCTGATTGGCGTAAACTCCAGCAGTGATCCTATTAGTTCAGATAATAGGATATGTCTCAGCAATACCTTGTTGCGGAAACATTAACATCTAACCTATCGATTATGCTCTACTCCTTTTAGTCGAATGAAATCCTATCCTTATCTCTAAGGTGGATTAGGCCTAGTTACTACCTAGTACCCGTTGTTTATGTAATTCCTCTCTAGCTTCTCTCGAAGACTAAAGATAAACTACTTAAGCATTCTCTTGAACCTTAAGAATTTTCTAATGAAAGGCTACTCTCGTAGCTCCTACAACCTCAAAGTATTAAGTATCATAAACAAAATAGATTAAAGCATAATAAAACAACCATTCATTGAAAATAAAACTTAGACATCCAATCGAACTCCCACCAAATAGGATTAGTTCATGGTGGGGATCAAAATAAACAAGTTCAAGACAAGTTTCATTTGTTCCATACAACCCAATAACAAAATATGAAAGCAAAGAACAAAGGGGATGAGAGAAAGCCTTCGACGTGCACTGCCCAATGCTCCTCTCGGCCACCAAGAACTGCTCCCAGCGGATTGGCTCCTCTCGGATGCTCAGAACGCCACTCCCTCAGGCTTTTCAAGGAGAAATACCACGGCAAGCAGGATTGACGGAGAAAGATGAGACTTTCTCTCTCTAACTTTTTAAACTCAAATCTATGTGGAACTAAAGTCTCTAACAATGTGGCTTCATCCTCTATTTATAGGGGAAAATTAACCCTTGAACTAAGAATTGACTTTCCCAAACCATGGTTAACTTTGCTTGGGAGTCGGGCAATACAGGTGATGATACAACCTGGATAGCTGGCATGAGTGACTGGCTTAATCCCGTTGCAGACACCCAAGGACAGACAGGATCTGCAGGGTCAAGCTCCAAATTCTACTTGAGCATCCAAATCTGGATCAATACCGGCAAAAACATCTCTGAACAGGGTTCTAGCACCATGCCAAATGTGTCCGAAGAAGAAAAGAAAAGCAAACGAAGCATGCCCAAAAGTAAACCAACCCCTCAGACTGCTACGAAAAACACCATCAGATTTCAAAGTAGCACGATCTAATTCAAAAATTTCACCCAATTGAGCACGTCTAGCATATTTTTTCACAGTAGCAGGATCACTATAACTCACTCCATTGAGTTCGCCGCCATAGAACTCAACAGTTACACCTACCTGTTCGACACTATACTTGATTCTGCCCTTCTAAAAGGGACATCTGCTCTAACAATTCCATCTCCTTCTACCAAAACAACCGGAAATATTTCAAAAAAAGTAGGCATACGGCGTACAAAAAGTTCACGCCCTTCTTTATCTCTAAAGATAGGGTGTCCTAACCACCCAACAGCTATTCCATCCCCGTTGTCCATTGAACCCGCTCTGAATAATCCTCCTTTTGCCGGATTATTGCCAATGCAATCATAAAAAGCTAATTTTTCAGGAATTTTAGACCAAGCTTCTGATAAACTTGATTTTCGGCTAACCCAACACTAACCTTCGATATATTTCTTGCTGGAAGTATCCTTGATCCATTGATAACGAGTAGGACCAAATAATTCGATGGGAGTAGTTGCTGAACAATACCACATAGTTCCGGCAACAACAAAAGCTGCAAAAAAACAGCAGCTATACTACTGGAAAGGACGGTTTCAATATTTCCCATACGTAATCCTTTATATAAACGTTGGGGCGGACGGACACTAAGATGGAATAAGCCGCTAATATGCCCAATGTCCCCGCTGTAATATGATGAGAGGCTATTCCTCCCGGAACAAAAGGATCAAAACCTTCCACGCCCCACGCCGGATTTACAGGTTGTACCTTGCCAGTTAGTCCATAAGGGTCGGACACCCATATTCCAGGACCATACAATCCTGTTACATGAAATGCGCCAAAGCCAAAGCAAGCCACTTCTGAGAGAAATAAATGAATTCAAAAAATCTTGGGCAAATCCAAAGAAGGTTTTCCTGTGCGCTCATCACAAAAAATTTCTAGATCCCAATATACCCAATGCCAGATAGCTGCCAAGAAGCACAAGCCAGAAAACACAATATGTGCTCCGGCCACACCTTCGTAACTCCAAATACCCGGATTTGTTATAGTCCCCCCTGTAATACTCCAACCGCCCCATGAATTGGTTATTCCTAACGAGTCATGAAGGGTATAACGAACATACCTTGTCTCCACATTGGATCAAGAACGGGATCGGAGGGGTCAAAAATGGCTAATTCATATAGAGCCATTGAACCGGCCCAACCAGCAACCAGAGCGTATGCATTATATGAACAGAAAGCAAGCGACCGGGATCATTCAATACGACAGTATGAACACGATACCAAGGCAAACCCATGGAAATACCCTTATATCAACGAAAAATAGACACTATGTAACTTTATTGCATTGGGATACCTCCCCTTTTCGGTGATTCTTTCGGAGAAAGGATTAATATTTGTTCTATTCCATTAGTAATAAGGGAAGAATTCGGCTCAGAAGAAAAAAGAGAAGCAGATCTATCTATACCCGATAAGTATCAATACGCAATGGGGTTGATCCTATTTTTATGAATGAACGCATCCCTAATTTGTTCATCATTCAAAGGACCTATTGGTAAGAATTCTCTTTCATTCATTCTGTCTTTCTTTATCTTTATTTTATGGCCTTATTCTATCTATGTATAAAATATGATAAATTCTATCTATGTATAAAATATGATAAAGGCCAATATTATTAAGACCACTATTACGCTTCCACATCAAAGTGAAATATAGTATTTAATTCTTTTTCTTTTCTTTAATGCCTATTGGTGTTCCAAGAGTTCCTTTTCGAAATCCGGGGGAGGAAGATGCAGTTTGGGTTGACGTATAGTGCGACTTGTCAAATATATTGGGTCATATGGGATTCCCCGTTCTCTCGCCCGATCGAGATATCCTCTGTTTCGCCAAAAAAATATTGATTGAATTATCAAAAATTTGTAGCCTGAAGTCTAATGAAGTGCAATAGAGATCCATTTCATTTTTTTGGGGGGTATCTAGATTAATATTTTCAATTAGAATGATTTATGGTTGGCTTGGTTGGACCGATAAAATGAAGCATCCAGGCTCCGTTTAGAAAAAACCCAATTGGTAATATATTTATGATTACCACCTATATCATAATCATAAATCTTTTTTATTTTAAAATGAAATTTTTTTAATAGAAATTAAGAATAGAAATAAGAGCAATTTCAAACTGTTAATCAATCGAATAATATGAGAAATACGTTGAATATTTGGCGGAAAACGTGAAAAAAAGGAATTTAATTAAAATAAATAAAATAAAAAAGTAAATGAAATCATAGCAAAAAGACGTGGTATTAGGTCATTTGTCCTATATGCGCAAATCAAAATCGGGCAGATTTTTCCTCGGAGTAGAGCATAAACCTAAAAAAATTGAATAAAAAATTGATGAAACCCATTCAGGAACAAGAAAATGACATCGTGATTTGGATTGAATCCCAATGAAAAAAAAAATAGATCAATGAAAAGTTTGTGCGATAAGTTTAGCGAATTTTTTCTATATTATAGGAAAACGGGCCAAAACTCATCTTTCTTTAATTTTATTTTGAATTTCATTTGATTTAAAAATGTAAGAAAAAACCTCTTCATTAGAAATTAGAAGTTAGAAAAGGCCCACTAGAAAAAATGAAGGATGGCTTGGAATCTACACATTAATTTTTTTCGCAATTTTGTTGAACTGTATGCATCAAAAGGTGCCTGTACGGCTACTAAGGGATACAATTTTATCCTAATCAACCGACTTTATCGAGAAAGATTACTTTTTTAGGCTAAGGGGTTGATAGCGAGATCTCGAATCAACTTATTGGTCTTATGGTATACCTCAGTATAGAGAATGATACCAAAGATCTGTATTGTTTATAAACTCTCCTGGCGGATGGGTAATACCCGGAGTAGCCATTTATGATACTATGCAATTTGTGCAACCAGATGTGCATACAATATGCATGGGATTGGCCGCTTCAATGGGATCTTTTCTCCTGGCCGGAGGAGAAATTACCAAACGTCTAGCATTCCCTCACGCTCGGCGCCAATGAGTTTTTTTATTTGATGGAAAGAAAAGGAAGACTATGCCTTCGCCATATGAAATATGAATTAGTAAGTAATAATAGCATGGCACTTCGAATTTGATATGAATTTTTTTTTGATTTCTTTTTTTTTCAAACAAAATATTAGATTATGTATCGAAAGAGTAGTATGAGAGAAAGGGCATTTCCAATTTTATCTTAGCTGTCGTGGGCCCATCTCAGCGTCACGAACTTTTTTCTTTTCATACCAGAGGCTATTAACAATATTTATGTTATAAATATAAAAAAAAGAGTACGAAAAAAAGACTATTTCTTTACTTTTTTTTTGAAAAAAAAAAGAAACTTTGGGATTGCTGAATCACAGACGAAATAAATAATAAATATATAAAGCAACGGAGCCATCATAGTATTTTAACTTTATCCAAAAAAAAGAAAAAAAAGAAGGGTGGTAATTGGATTATTTATTGATCCGGGTCTAATAGACTCTATATTTTCTCTTTTTCTTTTTTCGATGAAAGAAAAAAAAAAGAGAATTCCATTGTAAAGCCGTATGCAATGCGCAAAAAATGCCTGTACGGTTGTTCAATTCTATCTTTTTCTTATTATTCTTTAGCTATTCTTCTCGCCTCATTATGTGAGTTAGAAGAACCTTTTATCATGTTATATCATCAGGGTAATGATCCATCAACCTGCTAGTTCTTTTTATGAGGCACAAACGGGAGAATTTATCCTGGAAGCGGAAGAACTACTGAAACTTCGCGAAAGCCTCACAAGGGTTTATGTACAAAGAACGGGCAAGCCCCTATGGGTTGTATCCGAAGACATGGAAAGAGATGTTTTTATGTCAGCAACAGAAGCCCAAGCTCATGGAATTGTGGATCATGTAGCGGTTCCATAACAAATAGCAACGATTTAACACCAATCCACAATTTAATTAAGATTGATTTAATCCCTCTTACTCCTTTCCTTTAAGCCTAAGGGGCTAATATTTTATTAATCTTTTAAATAGAAAAAGAAGTAATTCAGAATCATCTGGTTAGGATCGATCTAAACCAGTCTATTATGTATATAATTCAGTATGCCAACTATTAAACAACTTATTAGAAATGCAAGACAGCCAATTAGAAATGTCACGAAATCCCCTGCTCTTGGGGGATGTCCTCAGCGCCGAGGAACATGTACTAGGGTGTATGTGCGACTTGTTCAGATCATGGGCTGAGAAAAAAGAAACAATTTTTTCAGTATCAACGATCAGTACCAGTGAATAGAATGGGGTTCTTCCGTTCACTATCTAAAAAAGATAGATCTACCATATCCTTCTATTGTGTATATTGTGTATGAAATTTATGGTTTTCGTTGGCGCAAATCCAATCTTGGGTTTTAAGATGAGAAAAAATTCCCCATTGGTAGCAAATGCTTATCCATTAAGCGGGGAAAATCCTATTTAAAAAGCAAAAAGATTATGCTTCGACTCTTGCAAAGAACGGACTAACAGGTCAGCTACCCAATTAATCCTCATACTTACATACCGTTACTGTATAAGATAGATCTCGTTGTGAAAGATCTATTACTGGAATATTTATGAGTAGAGCCGAAGAGTGTGAACTGTACAAGTTACCAATTAAATGAAGGAAGGGGCTCCGGTGTATAGAGAGGGCCTCACCGTTTAAGAAGTAACCATAGAAACGATGGAACCCACTATTTATCCATTTCTATTTATCCTTTTTTAGTTAATATGCTTTTTTTGATACCTAGTATCAATACAATTTCTTATTTCAAGGCGAAATGCCTAGAAAAAAGGAAAAATCGTGGTGGGGACGGTTATAGTAGCAAAAGCCATTGGAATTTTTTTTTATACATTGGAAGAATCCGTTTTGTTATTAATAGATTAGAAAAGAATAACTGAAAGAAAGAATTAGTTATTCATCAAAATTTCTTTTATTCAATGACCAGAATTAAACGGGGATCTATAGCTCGGAGACGTCGAACAAAAATTAGTTTATTTGCATCAAGCTTTCGAGGGGCTCATTCAAGACTTACTCGAACTATTACTCAACAAAGAATAAGAGCTTTGGTTTCGGCTCATCGGGATAGAGATAGGAAAAAAAGAGATTTTCGTCGTTTGTGGATTACTCGAATAAATGCAGTAATTCGCGGAATGGGGTATCCTATAGTTATAGTAGATTAATACACAATCTGTACAAGAAACAGTTGCTTCTGAATCGTAAAATACTTGCACAAATAGCTATCTCAAATAGGAATTGTCTTTATGATTTCCAACGAGATTATAAAATAAGGATATCGGAAGGAATCCAACGAAATGCTTTAAATGAAATAGGGTTCCCTCGAGAATGAACTCGGGGAAGGTAGAGTAGAAATTAATATGATAAAAAATTATGATTCTGATAAGGTCATCAAAACAAGATGAGTGAAGACGCTCAATAAAAAAAAAGATTGATTTTTCTTCCCAACCGGATTCGATTCTTTTATTTATTTTTGATTTATTTTTTCTTACGACAATTTTGATTATCAGATTTTTTGAATAAAGCATCAGTCTACGTTTGATACTTTTGAATCAATTGAAGGGGTAAGCCTATTTTTTCTGGTTCTAAGAGCAGTAGTTCTAGCGGTCGACTCGCTTCTTTCAAATTGTTTCTCATTATTAAGAAAGGGTAACGAAGATAAAATACGAGCTTGTTTTATAGCAATAGTAATTAATCGTTGTTGTTTTAAGGTCAATCTATTTACTCGCCTAGATAATATTTTTCCTTGTTCACTAATAAATCGACTAATTAAACTCATGTTTCTATAATCAATTCGATCCCCCGATTGGATCGGGGGCAAACGCCTACGAAAAGATCGCTTGGATTTAAGAAAGAGTCGCTTGGATTTATCCATGATTTCTTTATTCCTTATTTCTAATTTATTCCTTATTTCTAAAAAGAATCCTATTTCTAAAATCCTATTTTGATCGTATAAAATTCAAATTAAATTATAGAATGAATATAATAAACAGGATTTGGTTTATAGAATGAATATAACAGGATTTGGTTTGTTTATTTTATTATTTATTTAAATATATAAATAAAATATGCGTTATATCTATAACTAATTATATACTTAATATATTTATACCTAATGTCATAATTTTCTGTCAGATTTTCATATTCTCGGGAAGGGGTGACATATACGAGCCGCTTTATTTTTTTATCTCCCCGTGAATTGTATGTTTGTAACAGTAGGGACAGAATTTCTTCAACTCCAATCGACTAGGCGTATTGTGTCGATTTTTTTGAGTAATATACCTGGAAATGCCCGTTGATCCCTTATTAACATTAAGGCCCTTTCGAACACAACTGGTACATTCCAAAATAATCGTTACTCGGACATCTTTACTCTTGGCCATGAACCTCCTTTGAGTTTTTAAGTTACCCAACTTTTCTATTTTCCGATCAAAAGCGAAGAAGAAAGGAATGAAAAAAAAATAAAAGTTGCTAACTCAAAACCAAATCCTGAAAGATTTCGTTGCAATCAATATAGTAAATCAATATAGATTTATAGTAATAGTAAATAATAAGAATAAGTAATACAACGATTTCTAACTCTATTTAGAATCAAATCACAGTACGGTATTTTCTTTAAGTATCTTGTAGGATACTGTTGTTCCAGCCACATTTCTCTTTTCGCTCTACTAGTAATTTAATTGGAGCTTGAACCCGAATTTCGGTGAGGTTGAATCCACTTTTTCGTTCTACCTTCCTTATTTATTTTATCTAATTCTAAAAAAAAAACTAAACTAAAATAAAGGGGGGCGAGAGAGTAGTCACAGATATTTGATTGTATCTCGATCTAATCTTTTTCGCCCCGTCCCGTGGCAATAACTAGAATTAAAAAAAAGGGAATGTTAACGCATCCGGGAAGAAACGATTGATCTCTATCAATAAACCCGCTAAAGAACCGAACCAGAGAGTACTTAGTACCGGTGCTACGGAAAGATATGTTTTTAGATCTCGCATTTTAAATCCTCCTTCTTTATCGTATTACATTAAGGTAATACATATATAATCACATGTATGTGTGGTTAAAGACCACTTATATTTGTATATTTGTACCCGGAATTCCTAATTAAAATTTAAATGTACAAGGATTCGATAGATAAGATTTTCCATTTCTTAAAACAGCAAAATAGGTCCCTTTCCGCCTGAGAATTCCCGCCAAAAATATTCATTTATTATTCATTATATGGTTGTTATATGAGACCAAAAAGAGGAAATGGAAAGATAATTTTTGTATATCAATAGATGAAATAAGGGTGTGGAAAACAAGACAGGGATTCTCTACAATGACATTGTAGGCCAATTGAAAGGGATGTAGCGCAGCTTGGTAGCGCGTTTGTTTTGGGTACAAAATGTCACGGGTTCAAATCCTGTCATCCCTACCTATTACTTCTCCTTTGAGCAGTAACGAGGGAGTCGTTTTAGATTGATTAAAATTAAGCATACATAATCTATCATTTTCTCATATTATATATGATATATGATAGGAGTAGGTGTGCGCGATGTATTGGGGTTATAAAATAAAAGAATCCTCTTTTTTACAGTCTTATTTATTATGATATTTATTATGATAAGAAAGCGCTCTTAGTTCAGTTCGGTAGAACGTGGGTCTCCAAAACCCAATGTCGTAGGTTCAAATCCTACAGAGCGCGATTCGGCTCTTATTAGGTCGAAAATTACACCGAACTGAAAAAAAAAAAAATTGAACAGCAATTCGAATTTGATCTCCTTGGATTAAATTATTAAATTTAAATTATAAAATTTTTATAAAATTAAAGATATAAAATTAAAGAATTAAAGAAAGGGGTCAGTCAAAAGTCAAAAAAAGAGATGTTAATTAATCAAAGGTCCAACTGATCACCACGTCTGTATTGTAAATATGCGGTTACGAATAATCCAGCCAAAGTAATAGGAATTAGGCCTAAGACGATTCCAAATAGAAAAACTTCAATCATTTCAATTTATTTGAAAGGAGAAAAAGAAAGGTAATATCTATCCCTAAATATTAATCTCTAGTGCCCCTGAATATCAATAACTAATAATCGATAATTAACACGGTAAGGAACTATAGAATATTATAGAATATATGGAATAGGACAGAAAGCGTTGTTTTTATGAATTGTTCGTTCATTCAATTAATTTTCAAATAAGTCGTATCTTACTCAGACCAATAAATAAAGCTGAGGTTATAGTTAAAGCCGCTAGTAAAAAACCGAAATAACTAGTTATAGTAGGCATGAAGGGGCTAAATGAAATATGTTCTTTTTATACATATGTTTATAAAGCACTTACCTAAGTTTCAATTTTTAAACGAGACGGGGATAAGCAAAAATACCAATTGAAATAATAAGTTCAATTGGTATTTTTTGATTCATCAATCATTCTAAACGTTATTCACAAAAATAGAGCGGCAGGCCAAGAAAAGAAAAAAAATCGATTCATCATCTTTGTAGTTAGGTCAAGAAAAACCCTTTGGATCTAATACAAGAATACAAGAAAGGCCACCTCACAAATATTGATTAGTAGAATTTTTTTTTTTTATTTTATTCTTTGTTCTTTTTTTTTTATCTATATCTAATACTATCGACTACTCTTACTTGTTACTAGACGACTAAGCAATTCCTTAAAAAAAAGAAAAAAGGAGGGCTTACAACAAAAAACAAAACCCCTTGTGCAACTATGAAAAAAGTAAATTTTTAGATTTCGCATCTAATTGACTTGCGGAAATATGATAATTTCCTTCATGAATTATTAAAACCAACTCGTTGGATTCACGGGTTACCTGATCTTCCGTTTCTAGGCCCAAGCCAATAATAGAACCCCTATATTATATATATTTATTATATTCCAGGAATTTCAGGAATTTTCTATTGCATGATACGTGGTTATACATCGACAAGCAAGAAGAAGAAAGAAATTATCTAGCACTTCATGTCGATATACTGTCTGAAATTGCGTTGCTGTGTCAGAAGAAGGATAGCTATACTGATTCGGTATACTCTAAAAATACCTTTGGTACAATATTGACGATCTCACAAAGATTGAGTTTCAGTGAATTTCCGTTTACTGATCCCATCTTTTACGGAATCGATCCCCTACAAGAATATGTGGAGCTCAGCATGTCTGGAAGCACAGGAGAACGTTCTTTTGCTGATATTATTACCAGTATTCGATACTGGGTCATTCATAGTATTACTATACCTTCCCTATTCATCGCGGGTTGGTTATTCGTCAGCACAGGTTTAGCTTATGATGTGTTTGGAAGCCCTCGTCCAAACGAGTATTTTACAGAGAGCCGACAAGGAATTCCATTAATAACTGGCCGTTTTGATTCTTTGGAACAACTCGATGAATTTAGTAGATCTTTTTAGGAGGGCCCAATGACCATAGATCGAACCTATCCAATTTTTACAGTGCGATGGTTGGCTGTTCACGGACTGGCTGTACCTACCGTTTCTTTTTTTGGGGTCAATATCAGCAATGCAGTTCATCCAACGATAAACCTAATTCGAATTAATTATAGAGCTATGACACAATCAAACCCGAACGAACAAAATGTTGAATTGAATCGTACCAGTCTCTACTGGGGGTTATTACTCATTTTTGTACTTGCTGTTTTATTTTCCAATTATTTCTTCAATTAAGAAAAAAAAAAGAGTAGTAGAATATTAAATAATAGTAGGAATTCTCTTATCCCATTCGGAAGGATTGTATCTCATAATTATCTATGACTGTTTATGTCTTTAGCACGACCACTTGATGAAATGCGGAGGGAAGCGGGATAAATGGCCGATACTACTGGAAGGATTCCTCTTTGGATAATAGGTACGGTAACTGGTATTCCTGTGATCGGTTTAATAGGTATTTTCTTTTATGGTTCATATTCTGGATTGGGTTCGTCCCTCTAATATGGAATATAAGATGTAATAATGGGATGAACTAAGTTATAGGCATGAAAGTGTAAGAACTCAACGGGGCCCCCCTCCTCTTTCGTTGTCTGATTCGCGAGGAAGGGTCCCGTTGAATTCTTAATGATCATAATATTTTGGTCGTATAAATGACAACAAATGGATCACTTTTTCCGATGATTTTTTTGAAAAATGAACTCAATTAATTGATTCATAGAATCTGTTCTTCGATAGTATCTATCGAGACTTTCAAGGTTAGAAGAAAAAAAAAAAAGGAATCACTCAATTGGATGACACAATATATATTTAATATTTATATTTCTTTATTTATATTTCTTTTTTTTGGTTGTCCATTACTTATTATATTTTATATTTTACTTATTTAGTTTAGACTTATTTTATACTTATTATATTATCCTTATTACTTATTCTATTTATCTATTATAAGTAAATCAAAAAAAAAATATCTATTATCTATTAAAAAAAAAATATCTATTATCTATTATAAGTAAATCAAAAAAAAAAAAGAAAGGGTTATGAAAAATCTGGAAAAATCTAAACTAAGAATAGAAATCTTTGACGAACGGGTTCCAGAATTGTTATTATTTCGACACAACACAAGAAAAGGATGTGTAAAATTCCTTTTCTTGTGTCGAAGGCTACGAAGACGAAGAATAGTCCCTGTAATTATTTGTTCCCCTCATTTATCCTTCCTTTATATTCTCCGCTTACTTATCTTATGTTTAGTATCTAATCAAATTGAATTTAGAAAACAAAACCCATTCTGTGACATTTCAATCTGACAATAGGAATAGAATTACACCCCTCCAATTTAATCCAATTTAGATTGAAAAAAGAAAAAAAAAAAGTAAAGACAAATAGTCTTCTTCACAATATACATATTTTGAATGCGGGAAAAGTAATTCCTAGAGAAAGAATATAAACAAGCAAAAGACTTTTCATACTTTTTTCATCATACCTAACCTAATTGCCAGAAAGAATTTGTTCTTTGTTTACAAATTTGATGTTTCTGATTTAGAAATTCATTTCGGACACTTGAACCTTCTCAAACTGTTTCTTTTTAAGAACCAAAAAGATTTGTGCAAAAACAATAGATACCAAGAAGAACAAAAGGCCTTGGACGCGTAGTGGATCTTGAAGTACTATTTCTGCATCCCCCTGACCAAATCCACCCACATTAGGATTAATTGTTAATGGTTGATCGAGTTTGATAGATTCACCTTCTGAAACAAGAAGTTCCGGTCCTGGGGGAATAATATCAACCACTTGATGTCCATCCAATGCATCCGTTATGGTTATTTCGTACCCCCCTTTTTCTTTTCGTATGATTTTGCTTACTATACCTGTTGCCGTAGCATTATAAACTGTATTGTTACTTTTGTTCCCGTCGGGATAAATCTGTCCCCTTCCCCTGTTTCCACCTACGTATATGGGATATTTTAAGAAATGAACATCCTTATTACTAGCAGGGTCTGGGGAAAGAATAGGAAAGGTGATTTCACTATATTTTTGACCAGGAACAGGACCTATCACAAGAATATTTTTCTTAGTGGGGCGGTAGTTCTGAAAAGACAGATTGCCTATCTTTTCTTTCATCTCGGGCGAAATACGATCAGGAGGGGCTAACTCAAACCCCTCCGGTAAAATAAGAACGGCACCCACATTCAAAGCCCCTTTCTTACCATTAGCAAGAACTTGTTTCAGTTGCATATCATAAGGAATTCTAACAACCGCTTCAAATACAGTATCAGGAAGTACCGCTTGTGGAACCTCAATATCCACGGGTTTATTAGCTAAATGGCAATTGGCACATACAATACGCCCAGTTGCTTCTCGTGGATTTTCATACCCCTGCTGCGCAAAAATGGGATATGCATTTGAAATGGATGCCTCGGTTATTATATAGATCATGAGCGATACGGAAATGGATCGAGTAATCTCCTTCTTTATCCAAGAAAAAGTATTTCTAGTTTGCATGGTCCAATCATTGATCCCGAAAATTTCTACAATAAAATTAGGTAGGTCACTAGTATAGTTCCCTATCCACGATTCTGCTATTTACTTTTACTGAAAAAAAAAAAAATGACTGAAATAGAGGAGTCTCCTGATGGGTAGAAAGAATAAAGAATAAAGTAAGTACGACTTTGCATGCTTTGCTTATATAGAAAGTAAGGAAAGATTATAATTGAATCCGTGAATCATTTTCAGTCATTCATTGAATGATAAATAACTACAAGTGACGGAGATACACGATTTAAATAACGAAAGATCCAATATTTAAAAATTGTATCTAGAATGACTGGAAAGGTAGAAACAAGACCAGATATGATTTGATCATTATGAGCAAATCCAAAATCTTTGTAGATATAGCCAATCATTAGTTCCCAACCGTGGGGCGAATGGAATCCGATACATAAATCTGTTAATAAAAGAATAGAAAAAGCTTTTATTGTGTCGCTTAAATTATATAGGAATTCTTGAACCCAAGAGTTAAGAAAAAGAAGTTCTTCATTCCCCAAAATAGAATAACCACTTAGAATAACGAAAGAGATTAGATTTGTCGAGAAGTGCAAAATCGTATGGATACGATCCTCATTGTGCATCTTGATCAATTGGATCGTTTCTTTGTGGATTCCTATACGCAGTTTTTGTAGATGTGTTTCCGGGTATTCTTTTATCATTTCGTCCAACAGGAAGAGTTCCTCTACTTCTATGAATTGTTCTAGAATACTCTTTTCTTGAATATCATTCAAAAAGGTTTCGGATTGCCTAGCATTCCACCAATTAGTAATCCAAGATTTCAGACTTTTATTAAATGAGAGAGAGATCCACCAGGGCAAAAATACTATAGATGCAAGATATAGAAGGGGAGTGAATGCTTTCTTTTTTGCCATTTTTTCATCTGTGAATTGTTAATGAACCCACCTCATTCGTTGACTTTATGTGATCTAATCTCTCTATCAAGCATGCCTTTCATTATATTAAGGTAGGGGCCCATGAATCTAGTTTCTGTTTTTTTTTTGATTCAGTGCTTAGTCCTTGAATCTAAAAAGAATACAGAAATAGAAAAAAAGAATCCACTTTGAATTCGAATGTTCGAATGAAATATCTATATTATTGTTATATTGATATTGTTATTGTTTCCAGATATCTCAATTGATCAAATTCGAAGCAATTGCCCTCTTTTGATAACTGCCCGAAAGAACCGACTCAAATAATAAAGATTGTTCTATTCAGATTTTGAGACGAAGGAGCGCCCTGGCTATATTCTGTATCTAACGTATCAACTCCAAATATTGAAAATAAAAATAATAAAAATAGAAAGTCCTTATTTCGAAATACTTTGATATATGAGACAAATCCATTATTTCGATTTCTTCCTTGTTTTGTTACTGAATTAAGATTAAGTTGAGTGGTTTTACAGACGCATAAAAAACAATTTTTGTGGACAAAAAAACTTTTTTTTATGTTATGACTCTTCCGTATACGTCTGCTTTGGTTCGAATGGGCATTCTGAAGAAACTTCAGTTTAGTTCTGCTATAGACTTCAGTTTAGTTCTGCTATAGAAAAAAGGATTCTTGACTTGAGTTTTTTCCTCCTGGCGAGAAAGCATTTATTCTGCAAATTCATTTCAAAAGACTTCAATCGGTACACGCAAAAAATAGGCCAATTCAGCAGCTTTTTGCTCAATTTCTCGCGGAGTCAAATTCTCATCAGTACGAGTCAAGGGAATGGCCCCCTGGCCTCTGATTTCCATATAAAGGACACGACGAGCATAAATACCCTCTTTAACTTCTATTCTGATGGACTGAATATCTTTCATAAGGAATCGTAGAAAGATGCGACGATTTTTTCCAGGAAAACCCCAACGAAAAATACATACTATTCCCTCTTGTCTATCGAATCGATCATAACCACTGCCCACATTCCAAAAAATAGTGCACCACAAATAGGAACTAATAAAGAGGCCTGCGATCCCATAGAAAGACATTACGATGCCTTGTGGAAAAAAAACTATTTGCTGAGACGGAAATAAAGATATCAAATTCCTACCAAGATAACTAGAAGTTCCAACTAATAAAAACCCTAATGAACCAAAAAAAAGGATAAAGGCCCAGCAGAAATTGCTTGTTTTTCGAGACCCCACTATAAATTCTATCCATATAGATTCTGATCGCCAACTCATACATACTAGATCCAGTTGCATTTTATTGGAATTGAGAGAATAACCAAAAAAATTCGACTTTACTTTTTTGTTTCCGAAGTAACTCTCATCAACTAGTACTATTTTGATATGAACTTTTAGAAGGAATTCATCAAATTGCTTAGATCTAAAATCATCCCCTTTTATATGATCCCCTATACAGATCTACTAGATATATAGACTTTAATTTCATACATCCGTTCGGTACTTGCTATAATTCATTTAACCCTATATCATGTTTACGTATGCATAAGAGGTTTCATTTATGTTCGGTTCGGAAAAGCCGGATGTTATACAATATTCTACTAAATAGGTATCCGTGGCATCTAAGTCTTGAAAAAAAAATAGATAAGATTTGGTCTTGGCCCCATCGAATCTAAAAAATCTTAGTTTTTTGAACATACAAAGATAAAGAAGCCATTGCAATTGCCGGAAATACTAGGCCTACTAAAGGCACAAAAATAGAGGGAAAGCTGCTGAAAGTTGTCATAAAATGGGTACCTCAATTTAATATTTGTACCTGTTATATTGTTAGTTAGAAATATATCTTATAATGATTATATTATAATTCGTATATTATACTAAATATATCTAAATACTAAGTATTTCTAAGCGAGTCTAGATATCTAATAAGTGCAAGGAATGTAGAATTAAATAAAAACTTGCCCATCTTTCTAAATCAAATAAAATAGGTGTATGATAAGATAATCCACTTTCTTTATTATCTTACTTTATTCTTACTTTTCTTATTATTCTATTGTTCTTGTCTTCTAATTTTAATTTCTAATTTTCATTTTAGAATTTAATAAAGAACGAGTTTATTACAAATTGTCGAAAGATTCGATTCGTTAGAATCCGATCCAAGAACAGGGATTTTTAGTAAAATAGAATTTTCGGGAGATATAGAAAGATGCAAAACTCTATATTTATATTCTATTTTTTTCTATATTTGAATTATATATACATACGCAAGCAATAGAGGAAGATAAAATTCGTTTTATTTGTCTCGCCAAATTCGAATTTCATTTCACAGAAGGAAAAATTCGCTTTTTATCTTGTTGATAGAGGTTTACTCATTAGTAATATCGGATAATAATAATTATCCACAAAATTTGTTTTTCGACAATTCCATTTTATGTCACAAAGTCAAAGCCCGCGTAATGGGCTTTGACTTTGATTCTGATAAACTAACTAACTGCCTTTTCACTACAAAGAAAATAATTTAACTTAAGACTCTACTTGATTGAATTTTGATTCAAAGGAAAAAACCCGTGGAGCTGAACTAACTCACTCAGAACACCTTTTAAAGGATTACGTGGTACGATTGGATCGAATAAACCCTTATGGAATAAATATTCAGCCGCCTGTGAACCCTCAGGTATTGTTTTATTCAATGTTTGCTCAATTACTCTTTTACCCGCAAATGCAATATAGGCATTGGGTTCAGCAATAATGATATCCCCCAACATACCAAAACTCGCGGTCACTCCACCAGTAGTAGGAGATGTAAGAATTGATACATAAAATAACTTTTTATTTGATTGATAATCATATAAGCAGAAGATATTTTAGCCATTTGCATCAAGCTCAAACTTCCTTCTTGCATGCGTGCTCCTCCGGAAGCACACACTAGAATAAGAGTAAAAAATTATTGGTAGCATATTCGATCAAACGGGTGATTTTTTCGCCTACTACGGATCCCATACTACCCCCCATAAACTGAAAATCCATAACCCCGATTGCTATAGGAATACCGTTTAGTTGACCCGTGCCTGTTTGAATAGCCTCAGTTAATCCAGTCTTTCTTTGATAAAAATCAATACGATCTTTATAAAGCTCTTCTTCAGACTGAAATTCAATGGGATCCAGAGAGATCATGTCTTCATCCATAGGACCCCAAGTGCCTGGATCAATCGAAAGTTCGATTCTATCTGAACTACTCATTTTCAAATGATATCCACATTGTTCACAAATATTCATTTTTGACTTAAGCAATTTCTTATAATTTAATCCATAACAATTTTCGCATTGAACCCACAAATGCTTGTAGATCGAGATCATTAGAACTTTCTTTTAGAGTTAAATCATTACCATTTTCGCGAGTTATTATATCGAAATTCTTGCCTTCACTACTCTTTCCACCTTCGCCACAAATGTAATTATAAATATAACTATCGTTGGAATTGTCACTACCACTTAAAATGGAACTATCAATACAGATTTGAGAACGAAGATAAGAGTCAATACAACTATTAATGTGATTATTCCAATTATAGTTAGTATCATACAAGTTAAAATCATAGTGGGGATCATCGCTTTTCGATCCATTATTCATATAACTAGAATTACGATAACTATAAAAAAAACTTTCTAGTTCACTCAAAAAAATGATCATTGTTAATCTCAAAAATTTGATTTTTACTATCAAAATATATGGAATAACTATCTTGATTACTATCCTTAATTAAAAAGGTGTCATCAGAAATGAAATTCCGAATGTCTTTGACGCCAACTAAATGATCAACCTTACTGTAATAACTAGAGCTGTCACTACAATCATGAATGTTTTTATCCGTATCATTTCTAGTCGGGTCTTCGTTTACACTAGTATTTTCAATAGGACCGAGGCTATCCATTGATTTACTTAGCCCGCATCTGTATTCTAATTCCCCCTTAGACAAGATCAAATTGAACCATGATTTTTCCATAGAGCTTTCTTGCCTCTATTTACATGAAAGTACAATAGATGAATAGTCATTCGATGAAAAATCAACTGAATATTTTATTTCCTATCAGAATACGCATACTAGATACAATCACTAGGGTTATTAACGAACAATGAGTGAATGTTGAAGGAAACAATTCTCTTTTGTGAGAACCTGGAGTAGCAGTTCATTATATATGATAGAGCTCTTTTTTCTTTTCAATTAGAAATATCAATTTTCAATTCGAAATAGTGATTTCCCCATGTTGTGTAAAATTCGCACTGAAAAAATTGAAAAAAGAAATTTTTCTCCCATCAAGACCCTTTTTCGTAAAATCTCTACTACTAATACAATACAATGTTTCGTAAAATCTCGTCTACTAATACAATAGAATAAGTTTCTATTCCAACACGGAACCAAAAGGACAACATACAGGATGGGTAGAAGAAGTTGTGATGCTTGGCTCGATCCATGATCCGAAACTGTGGGATATAGGATAGAAAAGAATACACCAATCCTAAGGATCCAATCCATACACATACATAAGATTAATTATGGACCTCGGCGAAAATTTGAGTTGTCTTTAGTCTTTTATTTTTGTATTTAAGATTTTGTATTTAAGATATATCTAGATAAAAATATATCTATCAAAAATATAGACAAGACAATAGGGTCG